GTGTTTCTGTGTGTCACAATGGAAACCTGTACGAAAGCTACTAGTTTAAGAAGAATTAGAATCAAACACTTAAAAGGATTTTAGGAGGGCAGGAGTTTGTGGCTACAGATTTTCAGGTGCTGAGTTATAAGGACACCATCAGGAAGAGGAAATGGGGAGAAAAAAGTCACAAGATGTATTCAGGGTAGGAATTTTGTCACAAAGAAATATAGCAAGAGCTCAATCATCATAAGCAGGACTCAAGGACAGAAAAGAGACAGCTGAACCATGACAAGAGTAGTCACTATGTCTACACCAAGTCAGCTAGCCAGAAATGGCCTCACCGTCTGGGGTGATGGATGAAAGAGCCAGGAGGCAAGGACCCACTTGGTTTTCAGCTGCAACTGAAAAGAGAAGCCCCAGATTTCCTCTCGATGTTTTCTTCTACTATTTTACTCATGAATGTGATGTAGTGTATTAAGTACTGTAGAAATGTCACACTGTCCGCTTTTCAGAGCACGTTTATACATTTCATATATATGTGATCACAGCTGAAATTGATAAATCCTCTTTAGGCAAAGCAGGGTATATCAACCACACTTACTGATGACACAAAAGCAGCAAAGTTGCTGGCGCTGGCTGTGGCACTGCTCAGTCTGAGGGTTCCCAACTCCTCCCCAACGCTGCTGTTCCAAACACAGCTAATAACCGTTCAGCGCTAGCTCACAGAGAGAACAATCCAATCCAAGATGACTGCACATGCAGTCCTACTCAACTGAATGTCAATTTACCATACCAAGTCACTAAAAGAAACAAATTCTTAGTTTATGAACAGAAATTTGATATCATTAAATGTCAAAAAGCACTTCTTTGTAGACAAATTAATTACTAGCATACGTACCTTCCCAGTTATAAGTAGTCTTTGAAAATTAATCAAGGTAATCCATCATATCAGTAAAGAAGTCATGTTATAATCTCAATAAATCCATGAAAATACTTGAAAATATTAATATTCACTCATGATTTTTAAAAAGACTTTCCCCAAACTAGGAATAAAAAAATTTCCTCAGCTGATAACAATGGTCTACCAAAAAACAAAAACAACAAAACAGAAACAAATGGTCTACCAAAAATGGTCTACCAAAAAACAAAAACAAAAAAACTCGATGGTAAAAGAGTGAGGGAATTCCTCCTAGAACAGGAAAAAGACAAGGATATTTACTCTAACCACTCCTACTCATCATCATATTGGTGATCCTAGCCAAGGCAAAAAAAGCAAGAAAAAGAAATAAAATGCATAGAGATCAGAAAGGAAGATGTAAAATTGGCTGTACTCACAGACAAAAATATTCTGTATGTAGAAAATGTCAAAGAATTTTTTTAAAAGCTACTAGAATATGTTATTCTCATAAGTTTATAGGGTATAAGGTCAATATATAAAATTAATTTTATTTTCATATACTGGTAGTTAACATTTAGAAATTGAGATGTCAAAAATACCATTTATGATAGCATATAAAAACATGCAATACCTAGAGATGAATCCAAGCAAAATATGTGTAAGATGTGTTTTCTAATAACTACAAGACACTAAGAGTAACTGAAGTAAAACTAAATAAGTGGAAAAACATACTATGTTCATGGATCAAAAAAGTTAATATTGTTACCTGACTATTTTCTCCAACTAATCCATACTCAACTCAATCTAATAAAAATTTCAGCATTGTATTTTTATGAAAGTTTTCAAAATGATTCTAAAATTTATTTTTTCCACTTTTTCTTTTTTTGGCTGTGCAACGGTATGCCAGAGTTCCCTGACCAGGGATCAAACCTGTGCACTCTGCAGTGGACTTCCAGGGAAGTACCAATTCTAAAATGGAAATGCAAATAACTTAGGATAGCAAATCAACTTGAAAATGAACAAAGCTGAGAGGGTCTTATTATCTGATTTTAATACTTACTATAAAGCTATAATAATCAAGAAAGTTTCATAGTGGCGTAACTATAGACATTTGAAGGCCAGAAATATGCCCATATACATATGGTCACTTTATTTTCAGTCAAAAGGTAAAAGAAATTGAAAAGATGGATTTTGCAATAAATGATGCTGGGAACAACTTCAAATACACATGGGAAAAAATAAATATTTCACCTAACCTCACAAAATAAAAAAAATTAAATTTAAACTAAACATAGACTTAAATGTAAAAGCTGAAATGTTAAAATTCCTAGAAGAAGCCATAAAAGAAAATATTTATGACCTTTGGATAGATAAACATTTCTTAGGATATGAAATATAATTTAAAAATTTAATAATTTTTAAAAAAATAAAATGCATTTCATCAAATTTTGATCTTCTACTCCCCGAAAGACACCTTCAAGGAAACAAAATGTCAAAATCCATAGAATGTGAGAAAAGCATCATAATATACTTATCAGATAAAGGACTTGTATTCAGAATATATAAAGAACTCTTAAAGTCATCCATAAGAAGATAAATGAATTCTAATATGCAAAAGATTTGAAACTTTATAACGAAGGAAACATAAATGTCTAATATGCACAAGAAAAAAATAATTTAACATGATTAACCATTAAGGCAATGCAAATGAAAACCACAAGGAAATACTACTACACAATCACTTGAATATCTACAATTAAAAAGACTGATTATACGAAGTGCTGGAAAAATATGGACCAACTGGAACTATCAGACATTTCTACTGGGGATATAAAGTGGTACAAGCAATTTGAAAACTATTTGGGAGATTAGATTTAAAAATTAAACATCCAGTTATCAAATGATCCTTCAATTCTACTCTTAGATATTTTCTCAAGAGAAGGTGACATATTTCCAAAGACTTGTACTCAGTTGTTCAGCAGCTTTATTAACAACAGCCCCCAAATGGAAACAACCTGAATACCCATTGTGGATGGGTGTTTAAAAAGAACAAAGCAAAACCTACAAAGGGATACTACCCAACAGTTCAAAGGTAACAAGCTGCATGAATGAATCTCAAAAACAGGATGAATGAAAGAAGCCAAGTGCAAAATAATCTCCTCCATAGGACTCCTCTGATGTGAAACTCCAGGAAAAATAAATCTAATCTACAGGGATTAGAAAATCTGTTTCCTGGCTTTGGTGAAAGTGGAGACTGACTGAGAACATTTTGAGGTAATAGAAATGTTGTGGCAGTTACAAAAATGTATGTGTCAAAACACATTGAACCATACACTTAAGATGTGTGCATTTCATTATATCTAAATTATACCTCAATAAACTGTTTGTTTGTTACATTTTTTTCTAAGAAAGGCTGGTTACCAACTAGACTTGAAGGTAGAATACAGGCATCTCAGTAGTTAGGTAGAATTTAGAGCTGAACTGGGAAGGATTCACATCCTGACTGCACTCAGTACCTTTAATTTGCGCAACTGTATGTGAAATATTTTGTCCTCCTAGACATTTTGTTGCACAGTATTATCTTGTACCCCTACTGACTGGCAGAACATGTTCTTATGGATAATTATTTATTGAGAAGACACATTAAAGAGGTCACTGCCACAGACTAATATGGAGAATTTCCTGCCCCTCAGTCTTTTTCATCTTGGTCATGGGAAGAACAGCATCAAATATAGGGGATCTTCATGTCTCTGGTCTACCAAAACCAGGGAAGAAAGTATAAGGAAAATAAATTCTGGTATCACAATAGGTATCAGATGACTACCAAACCAAGGAAGTCTATGGAATCTGAGACAGAATAATTGTGGTGTAAAATCTAAGATTCCTAGTAGCTTTCAGGGATGAAATATTCCAAGTATGACTTCTGAGGTTGTAACACATAGGATGATGCTTTAGAATAATGTTTCCCAAAGAATGAGACAAGTATCAAAGATGGTATATGAAATGATTTTATTGAAGTGGTAAACCAATATGATACTAAATAACATTAAATCACACAAGATTTTCTTCTCTGGTTCTCTTAGTTTTTCTGATTATGTATCAAAATGTCTCATTTCATGTCAGTATGTTTTTAACATGACTATCTTCTCTTAAAAAGAAAATGTAAAATAGCTACCAGAAATACATTCAGTACATTTGTTTGTTTATTTACTTAGCTATCTTCTATTTATGCCAAATAAACTTGTTTTTTGCATAAAGTAAATGTTCTCCAGTAAAAAAAAAAAGGAGCAGTTAATTTATTATTAATAATAATAATAAGTTAAAAATACTATAGTAGAATATGGTGATATATGAATATCTGAGACTGGATAACAGTACTTTCAAATGTTCATTTGTGAAGAAGAATATCTATCTTTGTATAGATACTAACATATTAAAGAAAATTTACTATCAGGACATTTTCATGTTATAAATTAGTTTTTAATTTGAGTTCCTTACCTCTTTAATAGTCCCCCAAATTTCAGATTCCAGAAAAAAGGCCAGATTAACATTTTTGTATCTTATAAATTAGGATGAAACTCCATGAAATTGTGGGAAAGGCAGCAATATATTCACACAATAATAGAGGGTCAAATTCTACTCTGTTTTTCTGCTAACAAGTGCTCTCACTTGAGTGTGGGCAGACAAAGAAGATATGCAGAAGGCACCCATGAAAAAAAGATTCTGTTTCCATAAATGTTGGCAATCTACTATTTTTAGTTGTGCTCTTTTTCCTCTTCTTTTTTCTTGGTATACATTTAAATTTCTTTCCTTTAAAAGGATACATAAAAGTTTATATTTTATTTTAGGTTCATTAATCACTTCAAAAAATACAATTCATGTGGACAGATTTCTTCAAAATTGTTATGCTGTTGTCAGTGTTTCGACAGTTCTTGTACAATTTTTTAAAAATCAACCTCAGCTAGGCTCTAGAGAATTTTAGCAAAAAAAAAAAAAAATAGAAAGAACTGTAAAACAGATTTTCTTATTTAAAGAAACATAAGACAGTTTGATTTCTTTCATGCTTATAATTTCTCAAGAGTAAAATGAAATTTGGAATGAACAAAGATAAACCTTTTACCTGTTGGAAGGTGCAGTGTTATGTTGTTGCAAAAATCTGTGAAGCAGCATTCCGTTTTGGTAACATTGTTGGAACTATGACAGAAGACTTGTGCATTTAATTCTGGGAGAGAGACACAGGACTTGATCACCTGTTCCTTTCCATTGGTTAACATAACAGAAGCCCAACATGCTCCTTCTGTTTGGCAGGTAAAGTTTGAAGAGTCACACAAAAGACAAACACACTTCAAACCTGGAAAAGATAAGGCAAAACACTTGAAGATGCAAAAGTTATCATGCAAAGAAATTCAATCTTAATGAAAACTGAGACAGTTTAATAGCACTGGATAAAACATACATGCTAAAGCTGCTACTCTCTCAGTCATGTGTTTTATCAAAAGCGTTGCCCAATCATCACTTATTGTTGCTTATATTTTTACAAGCAATCTTTTCAGTTGATACTATATTTTTAAACAATTTTCTCATCCTTGGTGTAAATCCCTCCTTTTTAAACTCAACCAGCTCATTCCTAAATCAATAGTTCCTATGAAATGCTAGGATACAGTAACACAGCAACCTAGAAGTGCAGTCCAGCATCATTTGTAGAGCATTTAAGCATTGTTTAAGGAGCTCACTATCCAAACAACCCAGTGTATTCTATTCATTTACAATTTCTCCTTTAAACTTTAAAGTCAATGTGCTAAAAACACAAATCTAACCGCAGATAGTCACAGCTTTAAAAAATTGTGTGACTTTACATTTATATTCTATGATATTTTAACAGTATTGTATTGTCAATTTTAAGGCATTGATGAGCCATTATACGTCCCCCCTTTCACTAAAGAATACATCTTAGAATGAGACTCATTTGAATATAGACCATGACCTTCAGGCGAGTTTCTTTAATGAACACATCTATTCAATAGAGCAAAACATATCAATTGTAGAATGTAATAAATCTACATCAATAAAAATTAGACTTTGTTAATCTGTTCCCTTCACAAGTTTCCACAACAATCCCCACTTAACACACACACACACACACACACACACCCCACATTAACTCACATGATCAAAGTGGTAGAGTACATCTGTTCTGATATAAAATATCTATTATTATGAACAATCCAGTGGTTGTAACTTATTCAAATTTCATTTGAATTACTTTAAAATAGAACAGTGCTGAATAAGCCTTTTGTACCATTATTTAATGAAGATTTTGTTAAATCACAACACCCCCCTGCAATATCTGAAAGTCCAATTTTTCCATCCAACCGTTTTTACTCAAATTAGTCTTGAAATTGCTAATTACTCAAATTGGAGCTGATTTTATACCTGTAAAATATGTGATACACTAATGGCTATTTTTATACTCAACTTCAAATGTCAATGTAAGCAATACAGATAATATTTCTATATAATTGCACGTGTAAGAAAGAAAAACCACATACTGATCAATAGAAATTCTCTCTTCTTTTGATAATTTTTCTTGACCAGTAACCATTTTTATTATTACATACTAAGGGACTTACAATCATGAAATAAAATACCATTTTGTTATCAACACTGGGTCAAGCATAACAGGTTACTCTTCTATTTATATCACTGGTTATCAATATAAATAAATAAAATCTTTTGTTGATATTTATGTGCTATGGTAGAACCTTATAATGTAGACTGATTGGGATTCAGTAGAACTAGATACATAAAATGTAGATGATTTGAAAATGTTTTAAGTCACTCTTCCTGAATAAAACAGAGCTCATATAATAAAGATCCATCCACCCAGGGATCTTCTGACAGTAGAATCTCTCTCTCTAGCATCTTCTGATTCAAATTTGACAGAGGCCTTCATATTTGGCTATTGCTTGCCTCCTCTGTGCCTCCATTTCCTTATATGAAAGATAAGGAATTCCTCCTCATAGTGCTGTTATGGAAAATAAAATAATCTATGTGAAGCCCTTAGAATAATGCCTGATACCTAGAAAGCACTATGTAAGTTAGCAACTACTAATTACTATGCAATTAGTGACTATGTCTCATTTTACTGGAGGAGTTAGAGCTAGTTGTTCTATGAAACAATCAAAATACATTTGTAATTCATATAGGAATGACTGAATGAACTAGGTACACAGACCATTGGAAAAACGTTAGAAAGAAATGCATCTCCTTTCATCCTGCCGAGTGAGTTGAACGTTCTCATTCTCTTAATGGCCCAGACTAGATCCCAGATGATGACACAGCAGGATGATCTGGTGATGGTATAGATAAAGAATTCAGGAAAAGTTGAAGGTTCCAGTCCTAGCTCTATCACTCCCTTGCTGACTGACTTTGAAGAAGGTCTTTAACCTTACAGGGTTTCAGTGGCTTCCTCTGAAAATGGGAAATGAACCAGGGGAGGGGCAATAGGTCCAGAAATCCTGAAGTTTCACTGAGTATTATTTATCTTACAATTCTATTAAATTACAACTTATGGAAATTTACAATCACAAAATATGGAAAATTCTTTCAAAGTTAAAAAAACCTTCCCTACTTTGGTTATTCTCCAGTCTCATATTTTAAGAGTGTGAAGTTGGGAAGAATAAATCTCCCAACACATAGTCTCAAACCATTTGTTACTACAAATGGTAGTAACATCAGAGTCTCCTTGAACTTTTTATTTCCAAGAGAAGTATAACCTGGAAATGAAGGCATGTAACTTAGGGATATGGGTCCACTGAGTGAACACAACCAGAAGGTACTCAGCAGCTAAACATATGCTAGTCTCATGTGTGCTTATCACTGTGTATAATTCCCAGTGCAACCATATGAGTTAGTTGTCACTCTCCATTTTACAGATAATGAAATGAGGCTCAAAAAGATCAAGTGACTGAATTTATGTGGCAGTCATTAGACTACTTAAACAATGTTGTTTCTATCCTACCAAAGCTGATATCATTTTAAAAACAAGATGAGTACAAAAACCATCTTCCCACATCACCAGTTTCTATCGATGGTAAATAAAATATAACTTCTTATAACATTTATATTTTATATATAAGAAAATAATATTTTACTTTTAGAATAAGATATAATTCTAATACAGCAAAACAAATTAAAATTACTTAACAATGGACAGTTGAGATTTTGATCTTTATTGTTCAAATAATCTGTTTAAACAAATTCTACCTACTTTTTGAGAGACAGGTGGTCAAATATCCTGTGCCTTACATCTAGTATAAATAATCTTACCTTTCAGTTGGTTTAAGTGTTTTAAGTGTAAGTTTCTAAGTATACCTAATCTAATACTTTCTCTTGGAAGCATTACTAGCTCCTTATAGAAATGATTATGTAATAGTTCTTATCAAGGAATAATGTAGATACTCACTGAATGTTTAACAGGCTATAAAAATATCCTCAGTTTAAAGTAAAAGGTACCAATCAGAAGAATAATACAGACCAAAGTGATACAGTTAAGTCATAGTAAGTGACATGCTTACTTTAAATCCTGCACAATGGAAAACACTGACAAAATTGAGAATTTATTGATGATAATGGCTTCAAACAATTGCTAAATGTCCTCATTTACTCCAAGTCAATTAGCTCTACTGTATATCACTGACACAGAACAAACAGCAAACTAAAAAGAACCTAAGATGTGTATCTAATACACAATCTACAACACAGTTAATCTTGCACATAGTGAATAGGTGGAAAATAAAGAATGCAAGACTCAACATAGAATTCTAGTGTTACCAGTTAAAACATAGGTTGCCATTAGAGACAAGACACATTCATATTTTGTTTTTTAAAAAATTGACGTTAATTGAGTCAATTGCACTAGAATATTCTACGATAGTATAATCTGTTAGCAGACAACAGGTCAGACTTAACATTTCTTTATTTTATACTTTCTCATTATACTGTACTTGAGTCATACGGAAAGTGATAGCAAATGAAGTTGAAAAAGAAGGTAATTACCCGTAATAAGGAGGCCTATTAGACTTTTGCCCACAAGGAAGATTGCACTTTTCTTGTGTCTCCTCCCACCCTTTTAATTATCCTCTTCTTCCCCCTTTTTGCCAATTAGTCTATAAAAGCCAAGACATCTGTTACCCACAAGACATCTGTTACCCACATGAAACCAAAGGATGTGAACATTCTTAATCAACCAGAAAATAAATGTTCATCCATATTTACACGTGAGGGCAAGCATACCCTAGCGTCTGGAAATGCAAAAACCATCAGATTACATAAAAGAACCAAGTGTATCACTTGTGTTTGTGTGCTATTCTTACTAATAATATTCGGTGGGGAAATATTAGTTGTTTTGAATTAGATACTATTTTCAATAAACTGATTTCCTACATTTGGTGGCTGTATGCTAACACATCTATTGGCCAGTGCCTTACCTAAATTTTTGATACATGCCCTTTCTTCTTTTCCAGAAATTAGTTGATTCAATGTCCCTAATTTGTGAGTTTGATATTAAACAAAATATTTTTTTAATTTAGAAAACTGTCTCAAGTTTGACCTGCTGCCTTTGATCATTTGCAAGCTTCTGAGTTAACAAAAGATTAATTTAAGCTCATCAGTGTGCTGAATATGAAAACAAGAAAGGAGCCAGGACAACCAGAACTGCTATCTGCGAAATAAAGCTAGACAGGGTCAAAGGAAACCAGGCAGGGATCTGTCTTCCTTTTTTATTTCTTTTCAAATTTTTATTTTCTTGTCATATGGTCATTTCAAAGTATTTGCTTTTCTTAATGGCAAGAAAGAATAGAGAAAGAAAGTAGCTTTAATAAAATATTAGTTTAGTTTAGTGCTAAGTCACTTCAGTAATGTCCAATTATGTGCAACCCCATGGATTATAGCCCGCAAGGCTCCTCTGTCCATGAAACTCTTCAGGCAAGAATACTGGAGTGGGTTGCCATGTCCTTCTCCAGGGGATCTTCCCAACCCAGGGATCAAACCCACGTCTCTTACATCTACTGCTTTGGCAGGCAGGTTCTTTACCACTAGTGCCATCTGAGAAGTCCCAAATGCAAACTTTTTGGACAAATGACCTTTCAGCCAAAATTCAACTTCTAGAATTCTATTTGACCAGATATATCCAAAGAAATTCAGAACTCCTAAACTATTGTATACCAAACACAAAGGAAAATTATTCCTTTATGCAAGTGGCTATTGTGTTCCCTGGTCTGAGAAGGAACAAAACTGAGAAGGAATGGAACTACCCTAACAGGAGAGATTCTACCCAGGACAACTGCTTTC